ATGGAAAGTGAAAACATTTGAAGCTCTTAAAGGGTGTCATATTAAACCCAATGAATTGAGAATGAGAGGAAACTGATCTGGGTGACTGAACTTTCATTTTACCCTTCAATATATTTGCACAGTGCTTTCAATGCTTGTATATAGGAGTGAAATAATCTCTTTGAAAGTCCATTTTGTTTGAGACGGGGATCTCTTTGGTTTTCTGTTTGTGTGAAATGGGTCAAAGTCTATGAATCCCACAACTGCACAGGCCTCCGCATAACCATGCAGCATAAGCTTGTTTTGAGCCGTGGAAGACTCATTAACCCCAGCAGCGTGCTGCAGTGACTCACCGGGCTGCTCGCTCCAACAGCTTCGCTCAACTCAAGGCTTCATATCTGCAGTTAACACATAAAACAACTATCTGTTTTTAGAACGGATAGACTTGGAGATCCGATGCTTCACCTCTGAGTTTTTGCAGTTCATGATGGCTATGAATATCTCGGCCTCAAGGTTTTTGTATTTGTAAAGGTTGTGTCACTTCTAACGAACTGTTGCTCTGTTTTGTGGACAATGACTCAGTGGGTTTGTTCGAGCCAGTGACTCAGATTTTAGGTTTTGTTGAAGGATGTATTTACTCTTTTTTTTTTCTCGCCATGTTTTTAATTTTGTTTAGTTTTGTGTTTCCTCTCTCATCTAAAGAAACACAACACTGATTTCTTTAGCTTAGCTAACGGCTACAACATAAGGCAAACAGTCAATCATTTTGGATGACATTAAAAAAAAAAGCAACCACATCAGAAAAATCTTTGTCTTTTATTAAAATTTGCTTTGTTTTCATCTTAAATTTGAATCTTATTTTTTATCTTAATTTGCAGGTGGCACATTTCTGGGGTTTCTAGACTCAAATAAAGTTGCTAATTTTAAAACTGTACGTAGATTTGCCTTGTTCTGCCTGTTGAAAGTCCTTTCAGGTGTCAACCTGCTTCATACTTGGATTCTCATTATTACTTCTTGAATCATTATTAAGTCTCTATTTTTATCTTAGTCTGGAAGTTTGTTTCAACTCGCAGCTAAGCTAACGACACTTACCAGCTTTTCAATGCCTTGCCAGTCCTAATGCACCAGAACCGGAGTGCGTAGATATGCATCTCAACTTGGCCGAGAACAGAAATTAGCATACAGCGGTGTGTGCTGCTATTTTAGTCCAATTTGTCTTTGTTGTCTGCGCGCCGCTTGCCTTGAGCAGCACGTCCCTCGGAGAGTGGAGCCACAACAGAGTGGCTTTGATGCCGTGATGTCTGCAGGGCAGCGCGCTGTAAAATCTGCTGCAAGTCCTCCAGTGGATGGCCGAGCCTCCTACCAGCACAGATTACTGCAAGAAACATGACTGACAAATTTATAGGCCTTTACAGTCGCATTACTATCATACAAACTCCCATATCTTGTCATTTTTGAAGGTATAAATACTTTTGCAAGTTGCCGTAGTTGTATGAGCCGAGACTACATAGTAAAAAAAATGTAACAGAACTGCTCTCGGCTTCAAAACAACTCACAGACGAGTGCAATTTCAGTCAATGTCTCTAAATTAAGCAGACGTGAAAGAAGAATCAGCCTCCAGTCAGACCATTACCAACCAGATATTGTGGGAACTTCAAATTCCGCCTAATCATCCACAGAAGAGAAGATCAAAGTGCTACTTATATCTCCTGCCTCAGGGTCTTCTTTTTTTTTTTTTTAATGCATGCAGGTTTTAATTACGTCTTTATTTTTCATTCCTGTGATTTCTGTGAATCAACAGAACATCCCTGTTAGTCTTAAAGCTCATGGCTGCGCTGCTTGTTTCAAATCAGGAGATGATGCCGGAAGAGGACATTTTTACTGCAACCAGGCAGGAAGCACCAGAAATAAGAAACAGGGAAGAAGCTAATGCGTTGACATGACGGGTTAGAGTGGGACCAGGTGGCATAATCAGAGACTGAGGGTGAAAAAATATATATTTTTACCAACATGTTTTGCCATAAGCAGGAAGAATTTATATAAAGAAGTAAAAAGGTTTTGACAAAACACCTGGAATCTTTTGAAACGAGGAAAACAGAAGCTCACTTGACCTATTGTGCGTGCATGTATAGTAATCTTTCTGCTTCTGCCTGAAAATGATGTGTGAATTTGAGGAATCGTTTAAAATTCAGGAATCCGAATGAATAATTCATATATTTATCATCACAAGCCCTCATTAACCAAACTCCAGACTTCTGGAGAAGCGAGTTGACTTGCTTCATGCTTTTAAAAAAATCTGTCGGTTCATTAAAACGAGTTCAGATTCAAATGTTGATTTTATTTACTCATTAAATACTTTGTGGAAACACAGACTCGCAGCTCCAGTATTTAATGGATTCATTTTGAGTGGAAGAAAACGCGCAAAAATCTCTGAGTGCCTTTCAGAAGTAAATCAACATTATGATGAAATTAGCTGTATTTCTTATGTCTTTTTATATGTAAGATCTACACAGCATTGCCTAAACTTTCACATAATCATAAGTACGCAATTGCTATTAAAAAAACTTCTTCTGTTGTCTTGAAACAATCAAATGTTTAAAGAATGCGGGTCAATTTCACAATCTCGCTAGTGAATTTGGCGGAGAACGCTGAAATTCCTTCCTCATATTAGAGATCGATCGACGCTGCACGTTGGAGATCGATTATCAACTTTTCCCTTTGGAGAGCATTTACTATATCTGGATCATCTGAAAGCGATTCGAGCATTAGAGACTGTGAATGTATTCCCTGGTGGAGCTGCTTTCTGTTTTCATCGTTTTGTGTGTGTGGCCTGTGGGTGTCATCATCGTCTCTGCCCTCAAGGTTATGGCGTTCAGACTCTCAGAGGAAGCAGATTACGTTTTAATCCAGACCGGAAAATAACACGCTCTCTCAAAACTGTTGTTATGCAAAGGAGATTTTTATTTTTTTAATTTATTGAATATATCGGACTGGAGGAAAGGATTCTGTCCCAGTAGGCTCGATTTTACTGTTGCACCGTTTGGCAGCGGACTGATCTCGGATGATGCGGTTTAAACTCGCTGTGCCTTGAGTTCACATGCATGTGCGAGTGCGCAAATGTGCGCCGTCATGGTAAATTCATAAGTATTTAATGCATTATTCATGCTCTGCACATCAGCTTGCCGAACGTTGTACTCCTATAGAGATATACGAAGCGTTCCTGTTCGTGTTTGCAGCTGTCAGTCAGAATCAAACTCTCTTGTTTTGCTTCGTCTCTATTTTTCTTCACCTCCAGTCTCTTTTAGCACAAGAACCTCATTTATTCATGCTTCCGGGCCTGCAGGGCCTACTTTTTTTTTTTTTTTTTTAGAGCCAGCTGCCTCGAACGCTGTTTAAAAAATGAATGGACTCGGCGACTTAACCAAAATAAATTAAACACATCATTGCCCTGCTGGAGCCGATCTCGAGTGCACTGACGAGGAGACGTTGAACTGCGCTTGATTCTGGTTCTGTGTGTTTTTCAGCTGCTTTCCTTGTTATTTACAGATGAAAACCAAGTAATTTATTCTCAATTTAAAGCTTGTGCTTTCATTTTAGTCATAAAGCAACTTCCAGATTGATTAGCAACCCCAGTAAAGATGTACAAAATTGGTGAAAACTAGCCTTTTTTTTCTTTTCTTTTTTTTTTTTTACATTTAAACGTTTAAAAACCAGACCTTAAATTTCACTGCATTCACTATTTGATTGAACAAACTTCATTACAGATTCATTGGGAGATATGTGTTTTAAAAAAGAAGACTCTGACTATAGGAGTACTGAAAGTGGTCCAACACTTTAATTTCAAATTACTAAAGCCAAACCTGTCTGACCTAAGAGTGGCAGAAACTTTCAATCATTGCTTGAAGTATTGCAAGTAATCCAATGAAACAGGCTCAGATATTTAACAGATATTTAACCGGTTTCATATATTTATAAGAACTGTTTTTGACGTATTCACATTTTATGGAGAAAGTAAGCTGTAAGCTGCCACTTTTATTGTATTTTTTAAACATTTTTTTCTGGTTTTAGAACCAAAATGCAGTCGTGATCTAAACTTTGGATCATTTAGGTAGCTTCAAACCTATTTTATAGTTTTCAATAAAATGGTTTTCATGATGGAAACACAGAGATATGAAAAAGATACCAATATAGCGATAGTAATATAAGTAAATAAGTGTGGTTATTGCTAGTCTATTGGCACATTTATTCCATACAGCTTTACCACAGGCTGTAAGAACTTTTGCTTTTGTCCTCCCTCTCTAATAGTAAACTATGGGTTTCAGCTATTTTTTATTTATTTATTTATTTTGGTAGCTTTAACCGTAACAGACTTTAAATCTGCTCTCGGCAGTGGAGATGAGACTAAATCCTACAGTCAAAATAAGAGTTTTTAATGCAGTGACTGTGTTTGACCCGATCCCCCTGATATGTCTGCTTAGCAGATGTTATGTCTGGAAGAAAAGAAACGGCACTGAGAGAATCAGTGTTTTTCTTTTTTCTTTTTTTTTCTTTACACCCGCAGTGTTGTGAAATAATTAGGTCACCTTTCAAGAGCCTGTTAATTTTCCCAACATGTTTGATACGTGTGGATATTTAATATTGGCTTCAACAATGCTTGGAAGGTTACGGCCAACTTTTTAAAAGTAAACTTTTTTTCAGAAAAATGCAGTTTTTGGTCAGGAAGAGATTAGGACACCCCTTTAATTTCAAAATTGAAATATTTAAAAATGTTAAATCTCTGTTAGTAGCATTGGATGCTGTTTTATTTGCTCACAAATAACACTAGGAAGTGTTGCCCTTTGCATCACTACACTCATGGCAGATATGCTACAACTTACGACGACACTTGGCCAAAATAGACCTTGAGAACTCTGAATCTTCCCAAATTAGATTCGGCCTCATGCATATTAATAAGGAGACTCTGAAGCACTTAAATATTCCTAAGCCTTTCGTTCCTCTCTCCGTCCTTTTGTCCTTGCCAGTGAGCAGAGTATCTGCCAGGCGCGGGCCTCTGTCATGGTCTACGACGACACCAGCAAGAAGTGGGTCCCCATCAAGCCGGGCCAGCAAGGCTTCAGCCGCATCAACATCTACCACAACACTGCCAGCAACACCTTCAGAGTGGTGGGCGTCAAGCTGCAAGACCAGCAGGTAGCCTGGGGAGTGACGTTTTCGACGCTACGGGAGGAACGCAACACATTTAGACCATCCTAGACTCACACCGAGCGAGTCCTCTGAATTGCTGTGCGTTTACGTGTCTACAGTTTGCATTGTAGACACGTAAACGCATATTTACATGCGTTTGTGAAGATGGATCCACATTGTTGTATCTTTTCTGCAGTGGTGGAGTCCACCATCTTTATTTTAGTCCATTAGGTTTACGAGTCAGACTTTTTGGCTCTGGACTCTTGATCTTAGATTGAAATTATTTTAGAAACTTGTACAGGCCTGTTTGTTTACATGATGGGTTTTTAACTCCCCACTCCTCTCTTCTTCTTTTCCCTGCAGGTAGTTATCAACTACTCCATAGTGAAAGGCCTCAAGTACAACCAAGCCACCCCAACCTTTCACCAATGGAGGGACGCCAGGCAGGTCTACGGCCTCAATTTTGCCAGCAAGGAGGAGGCCACCACCTTCTCCAACGCCATGCTCTTCGCCCTCAACGTACTCAGCGCTCAGGATGGAGGTGTGGTCTCCCCTCTCTGCACCACACATGCACTTTGCACTCGGATAGGTTCGCTGCTGGTGCCCAGATGAACTTTTCATTCTGGATGGAGGATGTTTTTTTCTAGGAATATGTAGTCTGGACAAAACAAAGTTAGGAAATATTAGACTCTTATTGATTATTGGGCCACATTGAAGTTTTGGTTTTCTGATAAAAACATACATTTTAAAACTGCCTACAGTAACTTTATTCCCCTAAATTGGGAAAAACTATTCTGTCCTACATAGAAAAGCATAGCCCATTATTTCCTTGCTAGCATGAAGTATAGCTATAGTTTTTAGTCTTAAAATGCTGCAGTTATGTGGCTTTGGTCGTTGCAAGATTACATACGTCGTCATGGAGACACACAAATACTAAAAAGTTATATTTTAAAATCTGATTCATGCTGATTTGTGCACATGGCTCTACTTTTATCCTTCATGTTCACACAAGTTCTTCAGTCTATTGCATCTCTTTAACAGCTGAAGTCTCTTTTATTTGCTATCAGCAATATCCTGAGACCTTAAGCATAAATCAGTGAAACTCCTAGACCATCTCCTAACTGCTGCCTGCATCATGACACAGCATCCTCAGCAAATGGGCCATAAATGCTGATCCAAGCAGTTCAGAGCAACCTGTTCAAGAGTGATAGTAGCTGTCAAAATGCAGCTAAGTTAGGCAACAGTGCTCTCTAAGTCTAACAAACTCTGGCTAATGGGTTTTTTTCTTATTGACATAACAGAACAGAGTGCAATTGATAACATTAATTCAAGCTTTGGTTACACTGGGAGTCACCAGGGATTCATTGGAGCTGGAGTTAAGTCCTATTTTTAAAACACTTCGTTAGCATAGCATGAGCGTGTGAGATGTGCAGTTTGTCCTGCAGTAACTATCTATTCATGCCTGAGTTAGTCACAAAGAGAGAGAGAGGCAAGTAGAACGAGACGGAGACAGAGTGACTTTCACAGCTTGCCACTCATTTCCCCAGCAGCAGTAGCAGCAGTGTGTGTCCCCCGTCGTCCCCCTGCAGCCTCTTAATTTGAATGAGTCATTGAGAAGATCTCCCCTGGGTCCCGTGCTAGAGAGCGGACCTTTTCATCTGCCTAATGACGTGGGGCGGCGGCGCAAAGAGGGTTGAGTGGCAGCAGCCACCGATAGAAATTACACACTATACAGAAAGCACAATATGAGTACGTTTGATTTTTATAGCCACATTTTTGCACTGGAAGCAAAAAATAAAAATAAAAAAAAATAAAAAGACACAAACTCATTGACCTAGCATGAATGCTATAATAGGAGAGTTATAGAAAAAAGATGTTTCTTTGCTGTTTAAACAGGTGTGTCTACTGCGCCCTCTGGTGGTGAGGTGGGTTCAAGCGTGACCTTGGGTCTTCACTGAGTTTGTGATGGATTTACTTAAGGAGTTTAATAAACCCACACAGAGATCTTCATTTTATTTTATTCAAATAAGATACCACAAAAATGTAAATTATCTGAATTAAATTACAGCTAGTCCTTTTTAAGCTTATCTGTATAAATAACTAGGATCTCTTCTTTCATGTTATAGAACAATTAGCTCAAACTTAGAAAAAAAAAACCCAAGATGGCAGAATATATTGAAACCTGTACTTTCCAGGAACTTAAAGGCTACATTTCTGATTTATAATTCAATAAAATCAGTAAGGACCTGGTCACTTCCGTACAAAATATCCAGTAACCAGTTCGCTTCATGGAGCAAGCAATTTCAAATTTTGAGAATGTGTCAGGGCTTTACAATATAGCATATAAGTTAAATTGGGTGTATTTCATGGATGTAATTCATTTGACTACAAATCAATTTGAAAGAATTATTTGACTGGTAGAATATAAGAAAAATTATACTGGTAGTTATGACTAAGACTTTTCTAAAATTACTTACAACAAAAGTATTGTGTGCTAAATATAGCTGTAAAAGTTTTTTTTTTGTTTGTGGATGAAAGACATAAAACAATCTTCCATCACTTCTCAGTTCTCAATATTTTCTGTACGCTTATGTTAATTTATTTAATGCATTTTTAACATTCAAATCTGCAAAGATGTGCATTTTATTGTACCACTGTGAAATATTACCGAGTTTGTCAAGCATGCATAGAATCGTGATGTTGATACATTATATTTCTGACTCTAAGCTGGTTGAATTTCATTTTGCAAACAAAAAAAAAAATGATGCACTCTTAACATTATTATGCAGTAGTTTGCTGATGAGTGAGATGAAGCCGATATCTTTTTTTTTTTTTTAAATGGTTTTGTTGGCTCTAGTGGCCTTTATTTGAAAGTAGTTCGGCAGGAAAGAGGGTAATGAAAGAGGGGGAAGAAGACATGCGGCAAATGTCACCAGGCCGGGAATCGAACCTGTGACCACCGCCACGAGGACCAAGGCCTCAATACATGGGTTGTGTTTTGCCCCCGCGCCACCACAGCACCCATGAAGCCGATATCTTTCAGAGAGGCCGGGTCTCTGTGCGCCTTCGCTGTGCAGCAGAGAGAAAATTCGACCTTTTGAAACATTAACCAGAGTTGCTCGCTACGCGGCTGCTGCTGTCGCTGCCGCTGCCGGTGTCATTTACATGAAGATGACAGACGATACCGTTGACTCAGTGGAGTAGACAGGAGGGCAGGTGAGGAGAGGAAGAAACATGGGGAGGGAGGTGATGGATGGGGACGACGATGATGATGAGGAGGAGTAAAGGCAGCTTAAGGCAAGAGATGGTCAGAGGAGAGTGTGTCTGTCAGTGTCTCTGTCTCTGCTACGGCCGGTTCCTCTTCTTCAGCATGTCATGTAGGTAAAAAAAAAAAAAAAAGTGTCTGCTGTGTTTCTGTCTGTGGTTAAAACTGTGCTTGATTTGTGTTTTTGAGTTTCCTTGTGTTTGTGTGGAGAAAAAACAACAACATTGGTTTGTGAAGAGCCAAAGCAGAAATTATTTACCGGAAAATGCCAATAGACCCAAGTTGACATTTGCCAAAACATTTGGATAAATGTTACAGTTACTTAATTAGAAAGTAGTAATTTGAAGTCCTCCGATTTCTTATTGAGCCTCTCATGACTGACACTGAGTAAAAGAAACATTTTCAGACCTGAACTAAATCTGTTAAACTACGGTTCTCAAACTTGCAAGAAGTAATTATTACTATCAATGATTTGCAAAGTGAATACAAAGACAAAAAGAAAAACGATAAAGAGCTGGTAAGCTTCAACAGCCAAAAAGATGAATTTCTCAGATAAATTGCGAAAATTATGTTTGGTTCAACAAAGATTAAAGGAAGTCTGGTGGAGAAAAGTACGAGAACTTCCAGGTTAAAACAGCAGCAGGGAACAGAAAACTATTGGGACAAAGCTGGTGACAAGTTCTGCTTAAATGGATCAGAGAATAACATCAAACCCAGTTTAATTAGATTATAATTTCCTGTTTAAAATACTGATGTGCTCTGGGAGCAGGATAATTAGTATTAGCAATACAGGCAACATCATTTCTTTGGATTTTTGGGATTTTGTTCTTGGAAACACTTCCCACATGTTCACAAAACGGTACAGTTTGTGAAAATGGGATACAAACAAGTCAATATTTTTTAAATACAGTTATTAATAAGCTGTAGCTAAACACAAGCAGCCATGTTGGTTTTAGAAGTCTGTAAAGGTAGGAAGAAAGCTACATCCTTCAAAATGTAACAAAGGATGTGCAGGCATTCGATCAAAATGCTGACAAAGGGACCAACGGAGGCAGATTAAAATATCCCAGTGCTAAACGTTGTATCAAGTAATGTCATCAGCATACAGCCTCATTTTTTCATAGTTTTGAGAGAGATACCAAAGAGACTAGAGCAGAGTACATCAGGCAGGGCGTCAAAATGATGAACATGTCAGTAAAGGTTAGAAACTCATTTCCTGTGTGTGTTTTAATAGTAAGTCTTTAACCTTTAACTGAATATGTGTATCTAAAAATAAACAGTTTGGCCCACTGCTGCACTTAACATGCAGAGCTGAGGAGAAGAGCTGAGTCTTGGTGCAGTGGGACTCACCTGGTGTCAGTGGGTCCACGACCAGCATGATAAAACTCCTTTTTGATACAACTCCTTTTTGATACAACTCATTTTTGCCCGAGTATTTTAAGGGAAAATGCGACACATGCTTGAGATGACTGTGGCAATAGATGTTTGATGTTTTCACGTCACTTTCAAATCGTTTGATGCGACTGTATTCTGTTGGACATTAAATTAAGGGATTAAAAGTATTGTTCATGACTGACTCCTTTAAAAAAGACAGAGCTATGTTTTGGTGTTTCTGTCTTAAAAAACAAGAAGGAAAATGACTCCGCATGAATAAATACATGGAAACAAAGTTCTTTGTTTGTTTGTAAGGTAAACACCAGACCTACCAATGCTCACATGTCTTCAATCGGGTAAATCACCTGACACCAGGTTTGACTCGCGTCCTTTAATTCGGCCTGTGTTATTTTCGGATCTGTGTTACTTGATCAATGGGAGCCATTAGCCAAAGCCGCTTCCATCAGAGAGTAGTGACCCTGAAAGCCGTAGCGCTATTATGTAAAGCAACACTTTTCATTAGACGAGAACAGGACGTGGCGAATGTGAACATTTTTTTTTTTTTTAGTTCTGCTTTGTTTCACAGCCCTCTGTCGAAAAAGAAATCCACGAGATCACAAAAGAGAAGCTGTGAAACACTTTAAAGATCCAATGATCACAATCATACTTCATCCTAATACTTATTTCTTTAAAGAAACATTTTACGTATATATACGAATGTCTTCTTGATTCTTTGGTGACACATTTAATAACACCGCTGAGGGACTTCAGTCAAACTGGAGGCTTCATTGTAAAAAGACGACGAATCCCTCTGATTTTATTGTAATCCCTCAGCTTGAAGTGGCTTTTGCTCCCGTCTTATCGCGACTTGAAGTAATCACACACCCTATCTGGTTCTCCATCTGTAGATCTCCCTAATGGTGTTAAAGGGATTACATTGCAGGGGCCCTGCAGCACAAACCGTAAAAAGAAAAACAGACTTATTAGTCACTTTCATCCTACGATGCAGCTCATCGCAAACGTATTCATACCCCTTGAAGTTTTTTTTTTCCACTAATGTACAACCACAAACCTCAAGGTGTTCAAGTGGGATTTTATGTGATGGACCGACACAAGACTGTGCATTTATATGCAATGGAAAGTAAATGGTAAACTCCTCTCTGATTAATATCCTGTTAGCTTAGGTGGACGGCTGCGTCTTCATAAGTCTGCAGTTGTGCTAAACCCCGTCATACTCCACTTGAACTGGAAACCACGGATTGTTTTCCTTCCGTTTCTCAATCATCTGCCGCTTTGTGTCGGACTATCGCAGAAAATCCCAGCGGAACAAAATAAAGTTTTGTTGGTGTGACGTCGAAATCCTTCTGCAAGGCGTCTCGCGCTGCGGAACAAAAAGCCAAAGAGCACATCCCTCTGGTGTTTAACTTGCCTTCACAAGAGCTTGATGAATCAATCTGCGCTCATTTAAACTGCGGATTAGCATGCTTTTCACCCGGCATTAGTCAGTACCCCACAAAGAGGTGACATAATGGTTAACTCCTGCTTAATTCCCCTGTCACTTGGGTGGTTAATTGTCTCGACTGGCACTAATTATAATGAACATCCAAGGCGCTGGTGATGGATTGTTGAGCACAGCGTTGTTGCCTTATCCATATTTCTCTCTCTGCCTTTTTGCTCTGGTTTGATTCTGCAGGTCCAGCTCTCCAGCGGCAGGTCCAGAACGGCCCCACTTCGGACGAGATCGACGCTCAGAGAGCGAGGTGAAACACATTCACTCGGACACACACCGACGTCAGCGCAGCGATGGCTGCAGCGTCAAAAAATAACACCTCTGGGTTTGGACTTGCTACTTGAGGCTAAAAAAACAAAAAGAAACATCTTATAAAACTTGCACTTTGTTTTTAGGTCCTGTTTTATTGGCTTGTTTAATAGAGTCAAATTTCTTACTTACATGAAATGTTACTGTGTGGGTTTTTTTCTATGTTTAATCAAAACAGGTCTGTCCTGTAAATCTTGTTAAATCTTGTTAAACAATCCAATTATTTCACTGGATTATATTGATAAAAGGAAACTTGGAGAATCTGTTTTTTTGATGCGTTTACTTGTTTTATCATCGTTTTTTGAGATGCTGATTGATTCATTTCACACTATTAAAACAGGAAGGTGACAGAAAGAGAGAGCAAAAATATATGTCACAAAAATTCAGATGTATTTTCCCCCTCCCCATTTTTTTGTCTTTTTCGAATTAAAAATGGATGATGCTAGTGCGTTCCTAAAGTTTTCCGTAACATTCTACTTAAAGTCTCGGAAATCAGAGAGGCAATTTGTGTGTTTTTTGGGGGGTGGGGGGTTGGGGAGCTGGGGGGGGGGGTTTGCACTAGTGGCCTTTTTTTGAACTATAATTTGACAGAAAAGAGGCTTGAAATCGAAATTATGCAGTACATCCACGATTATAGCTTCCACACCAGCGTAACCACCTGGCAGCCGTATTTTAACCATTTTTAATCAAGAATTAGACTACTTACATATGCCAAAAGAGAGACCTTTAAAAGAAACAACACAAACGAAGCAATGGAGCAACATAAAAAGATTCCTTTACAAACTTAACCATGATACAAATTTTATTTAAAATAAAGAGAATTCCAATATTTTTTTTTTTTGCAACTGGTCCCAAAAACTGTTGAGCTACGACATTTGGCAAAAAGAAAAAGAAAAAAAAAAAGACTTTTATATTAAGTGCAAAAGTAAACTTGGATGGTTTATTTTGCTGGTGCCTCTGTCAGGCAAAGGTTTGAAAAATATTTCAGGAAAAGGACTCAAAATCTTTCAAGATTCGTCAGATTTTGTATCTATGAAAAACTGAAACATGAAGCCACTGGAAAGCGGTCCATCTGATCACTATTTGGTCAGAGAAGAATCAAATCATAAAACACTTTCAATCTCTTAACAATAAACACATTCAGCTTTAAATGTGCATTCTTCCATTCAGTCCTCAGCAGTTAGTTTCTTAAAACCTGATCAGGTTATCCATCCATGTTCTATGCACACTCATCCTGTCAGTTACTTATGTATAAATTTACACAGTAAAGTAAGACGAAATGGGAACAGGTACACTGAACCAAGACCTAAAATACGCTCCAGCTGTACCTGTGACTCTATCTTGCGTTATGATTAGTGAAAATATTGATATCACATAAACTGAATGAGTTGAGATCTGATTTTGCTGCCAGAAATCAGCAGCGCTGACATTTCCTCAGCTTTGTGTTCATGCTGCAGCTCAGCTCTGCTAATAGGAAGCAGCCGTCTCCTGAGGAGAGGAAAACAGTCAGAGTGACACGGAGAAAACCAAACTGGAAAGGAAGAAAGGATTCTTGGCTATATTTAGAGCTCTGCAGGAGCGTTGTGACATTTTGAGGCACCGACATCTGAAACAGTTGCAGCTCATGGGTTCTGCTGCGTGCGCCGCCGTTGACTTGTAATAATCACAATTGAGAAAAAAGATGGATGGGCGACTGAGAGATTTCTTCTCTCCCTTCGCAGAATCACAACTGGCTCTTTTCGTTTCGGTTTCAGTTTCCCAGCTCGCTGGCTGATCTGATCGCCAGATCCCAGGTTTTAGAGGGACACACACGTTGTAGAAAATGGAGTAGATTCCATGTCTGCCGAACTATTCCCAGGATCGGAGCTGCAATCGTGGCGGGAGTTTGTCTCCGCTGTCACATCAAATGTTCTGCTGTCTCAGCTCGTCTCCCGTCCAACTCACAGCTGGATGACTCTGCTTCCTCCCCACGAGCCGTCTCCTTCCCTCCCCTCCTGGGGTGTGACATACATATGCTTTGTGCATTATAAAAGATGCCTTGGCTGGCAGATGTTTTCCAAAACGTGCAGTCGACTGGAGGTTTTAAATCATCTAAATGAATGTTTTCTCCAGAATGGTCGAGACGGCATCTTGCTTGTTTAAATTGCAAACAGATTTTTTATTATTATTATTATTTAAACACCAAAATCAGGAAGTTGCAGAAATACCTGGATTTACTCAAAACACTTATGCTTTAAATAATGCCTGTTTTGTTTCAAATGCACAATTTATATATTAGTTGTTAATCTTTAACTTGTTTATTTAACCCAATGCCAAAACAATGTGGCATTGAGTAAAGATATATATATATATATATATATATTTTCACATTAAATCGACTTATCAAAAGATATAGATGGATAAAAGCAACAACAGGTAGACCGGGAAATTATTTTCGGAGGTTTATTGGAGAACAGCAGCGTCATGGCGGCCAGGAAACAAAGCGGACGGGTCAGGGAGGAAGTAGTGGAGACTTTAAATCTGAGATAAGAAAATAAAAATCCAAATTTGGAACATCTTGTGGAGCTTTGCTCAATCCGTTATTATCATCATCATCAAACTCAGTAGAGTTTAGCCCAACTGCAGACCTACCCTGAAAACACTATCCCCGCAGTAGAACATGGTGGTGGAGGCATCATGCTACGGGGACGCCTCTCTTTTGCACTGGAGCAAAAAAAATTCAAGAGGTTTGAGTTCAGCTCTACAGATCCTCAGCTGTTCGTGTGAAGTGGTTGTCTCAACTGTTTTGGTGCTGGAATTGAATCAAATATTCAATGATTATGTTTTTTTTTTTTCGGATGCTGAATTAGCAGCTGTGTTTTCTCCATTTGCTTTCAGGCAGATGATGGAACAGCAGCAGCAGATGCAGGCGCACATGGAGCGGGAACGACGGTCCTCCAACTCAGGTACACACACACACACACACACACACACACCGAAGACACTTAAAGTTTCTACTTTCTCACACAAACCATCATTAGCAGCATCCAGAGGTAAATAAAACGTCTTCTTCATCTTTGACTTGATGTTTCCAGGTTCTCCTTTCCAAGGCCACCCTGCTGTGCTCTCCGTAGCCCCACCTGTAGTACCTCCACCCGTAAACATGGGTGGCCCTCCCCCTCCTCCGCCGCCACCGGGCCCCCCGCCACTGTCAGCGGTGGCCCCTCCTCTTCCTCCTCCGCTGCCTATAGGAGGAGGCAGCCAGGGGGACGAGGGCCCCGCGCCAACCGGCCTCGCCGCAATGATCGCTGGAGCCAAACTTCGCCGTGTCCAAAGGGTAAGACTTATTCATGGGGTTTTTTGGGGGTTTTTTATGACACACATGATGAATTGTTCTTTTGGTCATGATTGAGAAGCTGTCTAAAGTAAGTTCTGTGTGTCAGCCTGAGGACGGCTCTTCAGGTACCAAAAATGAAGCCAATCGAACGAGTGGAGGAAGTGGAGGACTGATGGAGGAGATGAACGCTCTCCTGGCCAGAAGGTCAGAGCAATCAACCCAAAAAAAATCCTCCTTTCTTTTCTTTCTTTCTTTCTTTCTTTCTTTCTTTCTTTCTTTCTTTCTTTTTTCTCAGTTTATTGGTCTCAAGTGGCTTTTATATTTGGTGCAGTCTATACAAAAAAAAAGAAGCTAACTGCAAATTGTTAAATTTTTTTCTGAACAAAACATCAAACAATCGCAACATAAATGATGTTGCGGAGGAAAAAGTCGACACAATGTTCACTATTAAAGTGTTTGATTTTTCCGGTGATGACCTGACTGAGTTTTTCTCTCAGTGGGGTTTTAATAATGTTGGTTGATGAACAGTTAGATTTTAACTCTGCGCTTATGTGAATGCTTCTTAGGGCGTAAAATTGTGATGTCATAAATCATAGTTATTGACAAGTAAATGTGTTGTTAATTTTTTTTTTAAAGTTTTCTTTCTGTCTTTCTTTCCTTCTATCTGCCTTCCTTTCTTTCTTTCTATCTTTTGTGTCCACGGTCTATTTGACAAACAGAATTGCCATTTACTTATTTAGGTGAAATATGTCATTCTTAATTGAGGCTTCTTCTTTCCTCCAGAAGGAAAGCGGCTTCAGAGAAGCCTGACGACAGCCAAAACGTAAGTGGACCAGCAGCAGCAACAGTGATGGATTGAAATTGTTCTAAATGTCAGTCAAAGCTATACAGTCGATGACGATGGTGGTGATTACACAATCAAAACGGCGTCACTTGTCAGTGCTTGCTGAGTTAAATGAAGATAAATGTAATTCCAGTGCAACGAAGCTGAAAAGCCATATTTTTTTCCTCCCACGTTTTACTCCAGGATGATGCAAACTCTTCGTCGCCCAACACTCGGGGTGCGCAGAATTCCACAGGTAGGAAACAACGTTAGAGCTGCACAAGCTGCTATTTCGCCAATCATCTGATTATCCTGCAGCAGGGGAAAAAAAAAGAAATAATCACATTTTGCTTTTGTCACACAGACGGTGCGAAGAAGCCCTGGGACCGAGCGAACTCTGCGGACAGGTCGATGGTTTCGAGGTGAGAGCCGGGGAAGCTCAAACAGCAGCAGTCAGCGAAACAGATGATTTCCTAAAAAAAGAAACATTTTTTGTCCCACAGGTTACGAACAGCAGGAAGTGTCAGCGACACAGACTCGTTAGATCTCGACAGGATGAAGCAGGTGGAGTAAAACCAAACTGCTCAAACTGCATGGCAGCACAAAGGGAAAACCGACACGATGCTAAATACGCTGGTTTATATTCACAGTAAAAACTGTCTGTTCGCCAGTTTTTACTTTTAAAGCCAAATGATAATCCACGCATCACCTCGATTACGTGACGTGTTCTCATTTGTTTTCTGTGAACTTCTGTTTCTACTGTACATAAAAAGAATGTCAATTTCTTGTTCTACAGGAAATCTTGGATGAGGTTTTCCGCGAACTGCACAAAGTGAAGGATGAAATCATTGATGGTGCGTTTCTTTTTTACCCTCATGCCGCTGGAATGTTACACCCGGTTGGTTTGCACCAGTCTAACTGGTTATGTGGTTTTGTAACCACTAGGTTGCACTAGATACTTAGAAAAGTAAATGGAACAATTTAATAACTTGGTCTGAATGCTTGCAGTAAGTCCAGTTCATGTCATAAAATCAAATAGATGTAATTTTGAGCAGAGCTGTGGTAGTTGGATAGAAAATCGGCATTTGTAATGAGCAATAAATAATAATTAGTATAACATGTTTGAGAAATCTGTATAAATACATAATTAAACAAAACTTAACATGGGCAATTAAGCAATAATGTTCAATTATTGTTTAAACCTGTTATATTGGCACATTTTAGTAAAGATGTGTAAAAAGCCGCAAAGGTATTTGTTTTATTCCAGCTGTATTTTCCACTGAAAAACTGGCCCAGTTCGCTAAAGCGAGATTATTGTCCTCCCACTGAGCATCATGGCAACGCAGACTTAGGGCCTCATCCAGCCTTGTTTGTAGCCATTTTTAAGTTTTGAAAATAACTACATCGACACCAGATATGGACAGTTTTAGATGAGTAACTATCTTGTTATTGTCCAGTCCCCGGAAGAGCAATATAAGCGTTTTAGCTCAAAGGCGTGTTCGCTTGTCTTTACCGATAATAGAAATATGGATTTCTGTTAAGAAATCCATAAGGTTTTTTTTTTTTTTTAATTTTCTCATAAACTAAAAGTAGTAAAGCATAAATTTAAAAAGTGCTTCAGTTTCATTTGTCCTAAAAGGATTTTTAAGGAAGCTAAGAATTGTGGGACCACAAAAAAAAAAGAGAGAAAAACAAGAAGAACAATTAGAGATGTTTTAACCCGGAGGCCGAAGTTAGCTGCTTCTCCAAGCCTTGCAGATTTTTGCCATCACATCAGCATCCATGTTGCAACATGTTTTCATATGAAACATTGTTCCATAAATGCCTACAGTCAAACAGTGATTACAGTGGCGTAGAGGTTTATTAGAGAGTGTTTGCATAAATAGGTAGGATTTCTTTTTCTTTAGATTGGAAGTAAAATGGCAGGTTCCCTGTAGTCTCACTACATCTCCAGATGCGAGGGAAACGGTTTTATTTTTACCGAAGCCTCTCGGAGAGCAATATCACAACATGCTGATTGCACATGACGTCCCACGTCAAAACATGAGAAATGTCCCTTTAAAATCGATTGTGTCTGTCTTTACAGAAACCTGCCTGCAGTTTAACCCCAACTTATTTCCCCGTCTTCTCTCTCCACACAGCCATTAGAAATGAACTCAGTCGAGTTAGCACGACATAAACTTTGAGAGCTGAATCGCTTTCTCAAACCATTGCCCCCTGCAGCCGCTGCTGAGGCCCTGAAGACGACGAGGAGGAAGAGGAGAAGTCAGGAACAGAGGCCCAAACTGTGACATCCAGTCGTCGTGTTCAGCGATGCGGCGCCGTTACTGTAACGCCTCGGCCGCGTCTGCGTAACATTTGGTTTGTTTGTTTCTACCGTGAAAAAGGGCCACATTCTCGCACTGATTGCTCCGTTTTGTTAACATGTTTAGTCTGTTTGTCTGCCCGTCTCTCCTCTCTGCCTTTGGTCCAAAGGAAATTTATGAAATATAAAATTATTTTATTGGATTTTTTTGTTTTTTCTTTTTTTTTCTTTTTGGAGTTTATTTAAAATATTTTTTGTTAATATAATTTTTCCATTATTATTATTTCTATTATTTCTATCATTCTAATGATAAAATTATAGGTAACAATGTTTTATTGCACATCAATGTAAGTCGGGGATTTTTTTTGTATTTTATACATTGTTTATATTAAGTTTTGTTTGAGTTACATTCACAAGCAGTCTCTCTTTTTTTTTTGCTTTTCACCACCTGACCTGAAATATTATAATTATGTTTAATTTTTCTTTTTTAGTTATTTTTCCCTTTCACCAACACCAAGTACATTTGGAACCACCACAGAAACTTTTTTTAAAAAGAGAGAGAAGAAAAATAGCCTTCAATGTGAAACCAAGAACAAAAATAAACTTCTTTTGATAATGCAATCTTCTGAGGTAAAAAAAAATAAATGAATAAATAAAAACAAAACACCAGAGTTTTTGTGATCTTGTTGTTAATAAAAAATGTTTATTGGCTGCAAAGATACGGTGTAGTATTGTTCATTTTATTGTCTCCATTTATGACAAAGTGCTTCCTGGTTTGAGGAGGGGGAAAAACAAAACGAGTTTCAAATGAATTCAAATAAAACTGTGAACAATGTCTTGGATGAATCAGTGTCTTGTTTTTTTGTGCGTTTTGTTTTGGTGATTAAACGAGGATCACAAAATTACACCTGGTGCAAATCAAGAATGAAGGCAACAACTGAGCTACTCGCATTTATGTCTTTAATATTTAAGGTTGAAAACAGTTACAATGCAGTAGCATGCAAATAACTTACATAAAATATAAATAAAGAAATGGGCTAGGTGAGTCAAATACAAACATTACTCAACCCATTATGGAGGAACAAAAGTGACTTGGTGATTTAAATGAAACTGGAAACATGCAAAAAATAAACAAGTGTGTCCATAATCATTTATCTGTCATTATTTTTCTTACATACTTTATTATAAGAAAATAATTGTGTAAATCATTTGAATATTAAATATGTTAAAGACATATTTTAATGTTAGTTATGACAGCATTCATTTGATAATTTTATACAGTGCATGTGGGTGCAGTGGTTTATGAAACTATTTTAACAGCCAGAAAGGTAAACTAATGAATGCTCAAATCTGATTAGCTAATGCGCACTTCAGACCAATCACCTTTAACTAGCAGTCTTAACTCCACCCACTGACTTTCAGGGGTTAGTCTGGCAAACAAATAAATGATGCTGTGCAACAAAATGACTGTTTTTGTAACAAAAAACATTTTATTGAGTATATCTTTAATTAAATGTATGTATTTATGTCAAATTTTTATTCTCTAAAGATAGAATAAAGTAATTAATCAGTGATTTATTCATCTGTGACACTTTTGACCCTGAATAATTTGATTAGATTTGGTCGAGTGAGTGGTGCAAACTCTGTGGTTGTTAATGTAACTGGTCTGATGTTATCTTGTGCAAATTAAGCAGTCATTGTTATGGTTTCTTTAATAAGGAACAGTAAAAGTTTAAATAATAGCACTGTGCAAAGTGCAGACACATTTTGCAAAGTAATAAAGAAACTCTTAAATAATAATGTGATTTTAAACTATAATAAACTTCAACATTAAAATACAAAAATATATTTATTAATTATGTTATTGGTGTATTTAATTTATCCATTTCTGATTTCATGAAATTGTCACATATGTGCATTTAGTTATTTTTATTCAATGTGTGGCACTTATGGTCTTCCATATCCCAGAGGAAGATTTTTTTTTAATCATTGGAGGTTTAACTATAATTATGTTTTTTTGATTAAGAGATAATTTTATTGACATGCTGCATATATATCGGATAAGCATAAATTACATATATAAAATTAAATACATAAAAATATTCCAGACATGTTGGGCAATCAGAAGAGTTAAATAAAAATAAAATAAAAAACTTAAAAAAAAAATTGCGTTAAATGAGAGAAGATGTGAAGTGTGATCAACATCGTATGCCAAGTAAGTTAACTTTATTTACACATATTTTTAGATGAATTATGAACATCGTGAAACTCGTCGGATATTTTAACAGCCACATAGCTTGGAATCCCCCATGGATCCCCATGCCACAGCAAACCCGTTCTCGCTGAGCTCACTGAAATCTCGCGATGATTGCATATGACAGAGCATAGTGGCGACGAGAACTGGCTTGGAACGCAGTGAGGAGAGTTGTTATCGAAGAACAGGCAGGAGCGGACCAAGGAGCGGACCAAGGGGGGTGTGTGTGAGAGTGTTTGTGAGGTCCAAAAACAAGGAGCACAACACGGCGTGAATGAGAGAGGCAAACTGGCGGATTTCAACATGGCATCCGGAGATACGCTGTACATTGAGACAGATGGTTCGGAGATGCCGGCCGAAATCGTGGAGCTGCACGAAATAGAAGTAGAAACGATACCAGTGGAGACTATTGAGACCACGGTGGTCGGCGGGGATGACGACGACGACGATGATGATGATGGGCAGCCCATGATTGCGCTGCAGCCTCTGGTCACGGACGACCCCAGCTCGATCCACCACCACCAGGAGGTTATCCTGGTCCAGACCCGGGAGGAGGTGGTCGGCGGAGACGATTCGGACCTGCACACGGACGGCGGGGGTGGATTCGAAGATCAGATCCTCATCCCAGTGCCAGCACCTGGGGTCGAGGATGAGTACATCGAGCAGACTTTAGTGACTGTGGCTGGAAAAACCGCGATGGGTCGGGTGAAGCGAGGAGGCGGCACCGGTGGAAAGAAAGCAGGCAAAAAGAGCTATTTAAGCGGCCCCGACGCTGGTGGGAGGAAATGGGAACAAAAGCAGGTGCAAATAAAGACTCTGGAGGGAGAATTTTCTGTTACAATGTGGGCATCGGGTAAGTAACTTTAGCCATACAGTGTCTGTAAGCTCCGTTGCAATGAGGCCTCATTCCCAGGGCGTTGTCCTGCTGCACCAGACTATTTCCTGGAGTGCTCCGTCGCGCCGTTATAAAAATCGACGTTTTGTCCGGTTTTTCGATGCAAAACCCTGCTATACCATATGGAAATGTTTTTGTTTTGAAGGGAAGCCATGTTTTAGGTGTTGCTGGGCGCCGCCATATTCCCCGAGACTCGTAAGTATGGCGGCGGCCCCGAAAAGATGGCGATAGACGCGGCCGGGCAGAGATGGCGGCCGTGATCCGGGTCGGGAGAGAGCTGGGTCTAACATATCTGCAGGCCTCAAAACTGTGGCGCACTTTCAGCGCAATTATAGCCACTGTAGCTCCAGGCGACTGTGTTAATTCGGGTTTAACTTTTATATAGACGATTTTCTTGTAATTACGAACCATTTCTTGAGTATATTATTTAGCCGTTAGCTTTGTCTGGTTCCTGCGGCTGACAGTTAACCACTCCTTATGGCTTAAGCCTTTAAAAGCAACACAGCGGAGGGACACAGCAGTCAGTAATCAGTCAACATTATACAAGTATCTTTCTAAAACACTCCAGAGCTAGTATTTAACAGGTCCATTAGTGAATCAAACACACTGGTAAAACAAGTTGTCTAGCCCGTTTAGTGAGAGCCATACCTTTTTGTTACTCTATTTTTAGTGCTCTCTGCTGGCTGGTGAAGAGTAATGTTAGCAGAAATGCATTTTCTGACCTAACAGTGTTTTTAAAAATGTCGAATGTTGAGGATGGAAATGCACGTAAAACGTCATTTATAAAATTAATATAATTAAGAGACTGCAAACTTTGTGCCGTTTGTGCTTAAAGGCCCGTATTAAAATATGTTGCATTAATGACTCGAGTGGAAACAACTACCCTTGCATAGCTATTTGTTTTTAGAAAATATTATAGAGAATGTAAAATATTTGTGATGTTTTGCAATTTAATCGATACATTTTTGTCATTAATTTATTTTAACAAATTCGGTTTGATCGTATTTTAAAGTATAAAATAGTGCACTTAAAAACTGACCATTATGAACAGAAAGCAATATTGATTTTTGCTCAGACATTCCATTAAATACAGCATTTTACTCTTGCTCGGGCCTTTATTATTGTGCAAAAAAATCTTTATCAATATATAATCAAATAATTAGTGAAACAATACCTTCATAACCTGTTTTCAGCAGGTTATGAAGGCATTTGATTTAAATCTTACTTGATACTTGATGTGTATATAGTTATCATTTACAGCACTTTTCATTTGAATGTTATGGTGGAATGTATCCTACTTTTTTTAAAAATCATGTTTAATCGTTTAAAAAAAATCAAAATAATGTGGTAAGTATAATTGCTGTGTAATATCAAACTGCAATTTTGTGATTACTACAAGAGTGAGGAAGTGATAAACGTATTCATGTTATTCACTAATTATGCCGCACCGAAGTGCTTGTTAGCATAATCAGGTGGCCTGCATGCTGTAGCAGATGTTCTCCAACTCCCGAGGCTTGTAGCCAGGGTTCCATCAATATGTTATCGGTTCAGTCTCTGTAATGTGTTCCTAGATGACAATAAAGACATTGACCATGAGTCAGTGGTGGAGGAGCAGATCGTCGGGGAGAACTCTCCTCCAGATTACTCCGAGTACATGACGGGGAAGAAGCTGCCCCCTGGTGGCATCCCGGGGATCGACCTCTCAGACCCCAAACAGCTGGCTGAATTTGCCAGGTGAGAGCGTCTCTGCGTCAGCGGCTCCCGGCGGTAAACAGACGTGTTTACACTGTCAACACAGAGCCCGTGAATAAGCAGGCAGCTGCTGAAGACGCTGTTTTCTGTTGCTTCAGTTTTAAATGTCAATACTTGCATTTTAAATATTAACTTAGAAGTGTTTGAGTTATTTTGCGCTTTAATTTTGATCCAATGTTTCGGTTACAGGAGCAAAAAGCCCTGTTAAGTGAAATTGATGGCGCACACAACGTGGTACATGGTAGAGATCAGAGTCTATTTTTGTGTTTTTATTTTTAAACACAACAGCTCCTACACATTTAAACCCTGCTTTCACACACAGAGACCAAATATGTTGATGTGTAAAAAAAAATGAGGTGGTGCAAGTAGAGTTAATTTTAAACAGGCCACAATTGCATGTTTACAAAATTAAGGTGCGAGGGGGATTCATATTTAAAATATATATTTGATATTATTTAATCTCAACATTTTAGCACCAATATTTTTGTTCACAATTCTCACCAACAGGAATATAAATGCACACTTATTCAAAACTGAAGCACAGTGGACATTTCTCAGGGTTTTTTTTTTTTGTTTTTTTTTTTTGTAATGTTAAAAAAAAGAAACATTTAAAAATGTCCATTGTGTTTCGGTTTTGAACGAGCCG